TACAGTTATATATTTATACAGATGTATGATAATAAATATTTAAATATTTTTTTCTTGCGAGTCTGTGTACAATTTTAATGAGCAAGCAAGCTGAATTTTAATTTTTTATTTCATTAATGCTTTAGAAATCACATCAATTTGTATTATATAACTCTGTATAAAGTTTATTATAATTTAAATAAGTCTGTATATTTAATATTATAATTCCTAGTATATTATTTAATTAGCATCTATTCTAAAATAATACATTCAAAATTCGTTGAAATAGTATCTAAACGCACGTATATTAGATACGCAGCAGATTCTTAGTAAGAGGATGCCGTTGTTTGCGAATGTCCCTACAGCTCTTCGAGAGAGCTAAAAAATTTGAAAAATAGTTTTAAAATTAAACGCAATTAACAATTATAATATAAATCGGTCAAAGAGAGAACTCGATTACTTATGTATCCTACCACGAGCGTCGGCCGCGGTTATACGAGTACTTATTTTCCTCCTCGAAAGCCTAAGTTAAGTACACTAAGGATAAACTTTTTAATACTTAAATTAACTCCAGCAATAATTATGTACGAATCGTGTTGCAAAGAAAATATCCGAATTTCTTAATTGGTCTGTTTCGACGTCTATAGCACCTTCAAGTAAAATGATGTATACAACAAGAATTGCAATAAAAATTAAAAAACCGTTATGTTATTTCAGTTGAAATGATAAACTAAAATTTAACACGGTAAATGGCATGCATATTTGCCGATTGAGTATAACCGAAAATCAGTTAGAATATTAAAGAAAGTCGTAATATTGCGTGTAACGAGCCGAAAGAAGGTCTGTAATACTGAGACGTAAACTAAATTGTCATCGAACGCTATAGGTGTGTTACCTACTTACCTATATAATAAACATTGTTACCATAGATAGTATTATAGTGTACATATTATTATTATTGTACAGTTAATCGATCAAAGTATGAATGTCGCAGATACATTTCAATATTATTTGATAGATTTTCCGTCAGTTTTACCACAGGGCCGCACGCGGTATGACATAATATCATAATTTTTAATGCAACAACACTAGCTACAATATACGAGTAGTCAAGTAAATTATTACTATTTTTTTTTCTTTTCAATATAATATGACGATTATTATTTTTAACAAATCCGAAATCCGAAGGTTCGGCCCGACCGGACGGACGACGACGTTTACCCGTGCAGGCGGACGGACGAGATGGGAGTAAAATAATATATCATATAATATTAAGGTATATACTCATTTTTGCCGGTCGCATTGCTCGCACGTGTCGCACAAGGAGATCTGTCGGTTGCGCGCAGCGGTGGTCCTCGCATATAGTAGTCGCACATTATGTACAGCAGTCCTCATCGCGTTGCCTAGCTCCCTCGCCCGACACACCCTAAACCATAAGCATACACACACACTCGCTGTTAGTAGTACAAAATACGATATTATACAAAACGAGCGACGTGTCCCGCCCGTATACGTCATCGACAGCAGCAGTCTTTTTTTGCATTAATCACCCGGGCCGACGATGACGACGACGACGACGACGCCGTTTAATTTTTACGTCCGTCCCATTAGCCCAGCAGTCCTCTGGTCGTGTTATCCGGGGTCGTCTTGTTAGGTCCGCGGGTGGCGGACGCACCCCCGCCGCACGCGCGTCGCTGAGAGGAAAATACGAAATAAAAATATAATGTACAATACTATACATTATTATTATTATTAATAATATTATTATATTACGATGCTTGTATATGCGAAGAAATGCGTGCGTGCGCGCCATAAATTGTGTCAACGCTCGACCCAGACGGGCATTTCACAAACACAACAAGATATATTAATCACGGTCCTATGTCACTACCAAATTGGTGGTCGTCCGGTCCAAATAATTATATATATATATATATATGTGTGTGTGTATGTATAGGTATTTCCTTGTATTTATGGTTCCTTCAAAAACTCCATTCCACTCCCCGCACGACTCCGGATATTCGTTTTATATTTTTACACGTCTTTCTTTCTTTATTTCTTTCTTTCTTTCTTTCTTCCGCACTAATATTTTGATCATACACCGTGCACTTAGCACGACACTCGCATTTTATTGTTTGCACCTCCTTGCCTTCTTGCCAGTGCGTAACACGGAATGTTTAAGTTTAGTTAGCTTCTTTAGTTTCAATAAAAGAATGAAATGATCAATTACTTAGCTTAAAAGTTAGAGGTGTCGACATTGACTGAATTTGGTGGGTAACCATTTTTAATCAAGTTATATACAAATTTATAAAATATTACAAATGAAAAAAAATACTAATGACGTATTTAAAAATTCAAATATACATAAAAACACCTTCATCTAAATATCTAAATACAGATTACCACCTTTAATTTTGATCATAAGTCTATTCATTTAAACATAATTAAATCCAACGACACCAAAAGTGCACTATTGAACGGCATGAACATAAATTGATGATGTTGTAAAATAGAGATGATAATAAAATGTGCTAGTATGGCTTCTTCCTAATACGTTTATTATTGTACACCATACATGCTATTCTGTGTAGGAAGACCATTCTCTAAACCACATGTGGTAACAATTGTGATTTCTATATTATATTTATATTTATATGATTTGTACATTATGGCAAATGTATATTATAATTTAAGACATGATACTGTTTACCAAGTGGAGGGACGTGTTAATTATGAAATAGTGAGGTGTAAGTTCCAATACGTACGTACATCACATAAAAAAAAAATAATTGCATATAAATCATTTAATCGTCTTAATCCGCGTATATCTAACCTTCCTTTCATTACCTCATTGACAATAGTAAAAATCCAACTTTAGTCATCAGCATACACGTAAATGACTAAAATCCTTCACATGATGATTAAAATCATATAAATATTTCACAGATAAATAAATCCTAAGAAAAATTAATTTTAAAGTAGGTATAGCCAATAAACAATTGAACCGTTCTGTCTTCTAAGTATCTTATTTGTATGCGTATAACATATTACTTTAATTTAATTTATAGCAGTGTAAATAAAATGTAAAATACACGTTCGAGTATGCTCGTGAGTATATTCACTTTCTTATTATTAAAAAAAAAAAATAAAAATAATAATTATATATCATCAAAGCTTTTTTATTATATTCCTATAAACGAATGTATTTTTACATCATATGCGTCATAAAATATCTCTGAGGTTGAAATTTTACATACAATTTTTAACAATTTTTTATTTTATTTTAAATTTCATAAACGTATGCATTACAAAACTGAGTAAATCATTGCACTGAGTGCGTGCAAAATAGGTGTTCTTTCCCTAGATTAATAACTTAATGTACTCTACGCATATGTATACATATATATATATTTATGTACGTATAAACGAACCTCACTATAGAAACTGGAAATCCAATTGATCACCGGATCGCGTTCCTGTGGTGTTCGAGGCTGCTTCCGGGTCCCGAACACGTGCGGCGGTGTTGGAAAACGAAATGGGATAGTTTAGCCAATCTATTATAATATATATATACGAAACGATCAAGGGACGAATATACACCACTTTGCGGAAACTATATCGGTCTAATATCATGTATCAAATTCCAATATTTCATACCTATATACAATATTAGTATTTAGCTCTCGTATTTATTTATATGCATATATGAAATAAAACTGTCAAAAACGGTTGACCGTTGCTGTTGCGCGAAAAATGGGGTCTATTACAAATTCCAACGGCGTATATAAATAATATGCATCCGGTTTTCGCATATAGCGTATATTGTAATATAATAATGAGTGTAAATCACTGGAAACAAAGAGTTATGCGCTTGAGTCTTATAATTGAATTACCTCAGTCAGTGAACACGCACTGTGTGAAGTGCGATATTACAATCAATCCCATTGAATGATATTTTCGTAGTTATTATCTTGGTGACTTGGTGGCTATTCCAAAAAAATAATTGTACAATAATGAAACCTATATTATATGAACATATAAAATATTGTCTACTAGACGATATTACACGCATAATTATTTTTTGTATCATTCAAATAATAATTTATATGTATATTGTATAATTATACTAAGTACTAAATAGCCCTAAAAAAAATGTTGCTAAAATAAGATGCATAAACTCATTATTATTATACACCTAAAATTAATATCTTTGTACAGTTTCATATACCTGTTCCATCGATGGGAGATTTGAATTGTATTTTAAGTAGGTATCATAGGATATGTAAACTTATTCAACAACCTAGATTTGAATATTATAATTCAATGCATATAATTATACCTAAGTATAAAACTCGAACTTCGTTTCACTATAAATTTAAAATTGTATTACCTACTATAAAAACAACAATAATCAAATTTAAAATTAAACGTCTGTTTAATATTATGAAGCTCTACTTATTTATTTTACACCATTAACTGTATAAATGGTTTTGAAGTTTTCAAGAGATTAAAAGTTTTAAACTATTTAGTTGTGAATAAAAACATTTTACTTGCTCGTTTTTTTTTCTAATGACAAGCTAATCATCACCATTTGCTACATAATGCTCTTGCAGGACGTCAGGGGTTTCGTCAATTAATACAAGTATGTAAATTACAGCTTTCGACTGAAAAAATGCAACTATTTTGTCGTTTTATCATAAAATTATAGTTAAATTCATTGACATATTATTGCAATACTTAAAAATGATATACAAAAAAATAAAAAATATCCGTAAATAGCAGATAAGAATTTTCAGTTAAAACCATATGTTATATTTGTTTTCATAAAACACGTTTATAACTTGCATACGTTTTATATACAGCAATTAAAAAAAAGGTAAAAATAAAAATTTCAAATGCATTCAAGTTATTGATTCTTAATTATTAGGATGACGATTATTGCGTGTTATAGTGTTAGATATAACATGCAACTATAATACGCATCATTATATTAAAAATTTACCATGCAGTGCGCATAAAAATTAGCCGCAGCGCTATATCTCATTTAAATTTTAGGCCAGAAATTGTACGGCTCTACCAATGTTACGGAGACAATAATCATTTTCTGGTTCGATTCCAACAATGCGGTGTACGTGTACTTGAGCGAATCTGAAGGATTGATGTTTTGCATGGACAGTGGTATTGGGTTGAACTCGTTGTACCTGCGACGAAACTTCTTAACGCTAAACATAAAATATCCATTGCAAATCTTTTTTAAGATTTGTGACTGTTTCCTGCGAGCAAAAATGTTAAAATAAACTCATTGTAGTATAATACAAACTCTGTGTTTAGAAAAATTCAACATATCTTACACCATTGAGATAAAAAAAAAAAAAATAAAATAATATATTTTGCTAAAAACTTCCAACCCTAATTGTCATTATTACTATAATATATTGTAATATCGACGTATTATATTAACGACACCGCCGCCGCGCCCGGTCATAAAAGACGATTTTATCCGTGACCGGTTTGACCGATACGGTGTATTACACAGTATAATGTGTTATGTTACGAACGAGCATAGTATTATAATATTATTATGTATAGTATTATTAAATTACATTATTGACGTCCGAAGCGCCAGGTTGACGTTTCGCACATCTACCTTTAATTTATTATATTATGTTTTCCGTCTGTATAAGTATCTATAGTGCGTCTTCTTGATACGCGTATGGTTACATTTTGTAAATATGTATATACATATTATATATACTATAAGTTTTGCATATTATTATTATGACCTTTATTTTTATAGTACTTGTGTGGCGGCGCCGAATGTTCATTAACATAATATGGTTTACGGATAGGTACAATATATTACATTTATGGCGGCGTTTTATCGTCGCAGCATATCGTATTATAATATATTGGCTCCACCTAAAATATTATATATATCCTACTTACATGGTCAAATGTGTGTTTATATACTATGGCCATACACGAACAATAAATTAATATAATATATATTAGAATGTATTGGTATAGCTTAAATATATTATACTCTTCCAGACACGTTACACTATATATTATTACCGTAACTATAGTGATAATATTATTATACAATGCATATAAAATCATGATTTAGATAAATATAGTGCTAGCTGTATGCACTAACAGCGCTGGGGGGAAAAAAAAGGATCAAACATAAAATATGATGCAATATCGATTTATCTTTGTTTTAGTGTACGGATTGATTGAACTTTTAAAAACAATTTCTGAAACTTTTGTCGAAATGGGTCGAGTATTTTTGAGTCTTCAGCAAAAAAACTACAGTTTTTTGTACGTTTAAATAACAAGCATTTAATATTATTTTATTTTACTTAAAAAAGAATCTAACCGATTTTGATTTTAAATTTTATTTTTAAAACAAACGCAATCCTAAACAGTTATTACAAATAAAAAATTGTTTGATTTTTGTGTGCCAAAACGAAATTCATACATATATGAAGTAACCTAAACAAATTTATAGAGATTTAAAATATAAGCTTAAAACATCATTCAAGTCACAAGGAATCTATTTATCTTTTAACTTTTATTCAAATCTATCTAGAAATTTTAAAAATGTACACGTTCATACATACAATCTCTTCAGCTTTATATAGTATTAGCGAAAATACCTATTGAGAAGAATTATTTAAGTGACTTGGAAAACATAATTTTCGACTTATTAAGAGTAGACAAGTAGGTATATTATTATATCTCCTTCGTTTTGGACTATCGCCCACACAAAAAAAGCAAAATTAACGAACATGATGGTGTTTGACCTTAAATCCCTTTGATTGTAATAATACTAATATTGCTTCTATATATCAGTCGGGTTGTGTGGTCGGGAATTTGGGTTGTGAGTGAGCCTAAATATTGCTATAATATTATAGTCAGTATACAGTCACTCCGAACTTACTTGGCATGTAACTTGAATATGGCGCATTTCGGTGCCTGCTGGTTGTTGAAGCTAAGAGGCTCGAACGGGCCGTGTACCGTTTCGTAATGATCGGTTATGGTGTCAACGCGGGCCACGTGACCGCAATTCTGCAATGGACACGTGAATAAATTCTTTGTGCAACCTGTCAGATAGTGGTCCCGAAGTTCCTGGACTGTGAACCACCTGTCCGCGCAGTCAACTTGTTCTGGACCGGACGACCCTACATCGTCGTCTACGTCATTAGCTCTGTACTTGCATTGTAACTTCATGGCGGACACTACCCAGTCAAATATCGTGTTCGGACTTTTGAGGAAATGGCTACCGCAAGCACACAACGACATGTATTTGATACACGATGGACAGCCGACGTGCGCCTTCGCGCACAACCGGTACGGCGGCAACGTTTGCGAGCTGCACGTGAAGCACGACACCAACTGTTCAATTTGCGGACACAAGTGTTCCATAGCGATAAGGGGCTGAAAGCAATGGACAGACAGTACTCGATGACTTTTCGCTGCAACTGTTGATAATTCGTATCGTCGTTAAAATATCTCTATTCGTTCATATAATAATATAAAAACAATATACAATTATTTAAAAAAAATATTATTTAATCCACGCTATTGACGTTACAATACAGCGTGAAACTTGACACATTGTATTTTCACAAACATGTATAGTCTATATAAACATACAATATCGTAATTAAATAAAATAATAAATGTTTAGAATTTCTAACGTTACCGTATACTGTGATTAATACATATAACCAGCAAATTATGGCGGTTATCCATGAGATGAGATACTCGATCATTACTTCAAAAACTATAACGTTTTTAAAAATATTTTTGTTACACCTGGATCGGGATACAGTTTATTAAGGACGATAAAATTTTAACTAGTATATACTCGTAGATGAAAAAACGGCCTTTTATAGCTATAACTAGCTTATATGTATAAATACAACAACTAGCCTATAATTTATACCTAAATCTACAACTAATTATTTGTTTGTAATATTAAAAATAATATGCAAAACAGAAGTTCATATAATATCATGTACACACACTATCAGTAGCGTAAAATAAATGTATATCGAACTTATAAATTCTTTTCATAACAAAGTTGTGAGAAAAAAAACATGCAATTAAATTAAATTTTAACTTCATTGTTGTGGTATAGCTATATCATTGCTTATACGTAAAATAATATTATATTTTTGTTACCTATTAAACTGACAGTACATTAGCATTTTCTTAAACGAAAAAATTCAAAAAAAAAATTAGGTCCATATCATAGTATTTTTTTCAAATTTGGTTCAAATATCAGTGAAAAAAAAATCAATCCTTAGACAACAATTATAAATTGACGCTAGGAATAGTATATTCATATTATTCATATTATCATAATATACAGAATATCGATGGCTTTATCAGCGCAAACGCTACATTATTAGCATTTTTAAGTCATTTCACATTATTTTTAGAACATAAATATTTTTAATTTTATATATTAAAATAATTACAACAATTTTAAAGCATAAAATATAAGCGTATTTTTAAAAAAAATGTAATACTTTATTAATCGTTCAATATACTAGATAAATGTGTTTTTGAAAAAATTGAATTTGTTTTATTATGCTTGTATGCGTGCACTAAGCTATCGATAAATAATTATAGTCATGTCGACAAAATTATTATTACACACACATACCTATTAGCAATAAAATATATACAATAAAATTATAATAATATTATAAAATCAATGCTATTAGCTACAGAAGCTACAGATTAAAGATTCCACACATAAATAATATTATATTTATTGAAATAATATAACACATATGGTGGTAGTGGGGGGAGAGAGGGTCGTGTTATCATTATATAAATATTCTCAACTCGAATATCATGACGTTTGACTTGTACGGTATTTATTTATGTAATATATTAAACAATATCTGCTTTCGATCCAAATGGACGTCCCGCAGTTAGGCGCGCCAATAACACGGTCTGTATAATATTATAACACAATATATACGATGCATGTTATAGTACAGACTCGAGTCGGCGGCGGCGACGGCAAAAAAGTCATGATATTATGTTTTCGGTCGGGACGTCGCCAAAACGATATCCGTCGTTATGGACGCATAATATTATAATAGAGTACTCTAAACTCGGAGAATGCGCCACGCGCGTAAACATCACGTGTATTTTCGGCGCCGTCTCGGTGCGTTGCCGCAGATATAGACTCATCTAACAACACATATACGAGTACACGTCATATATATATATATATATATATATACATATTACCTATGTTACAGTATGCCGGACATAGTGCGGCGATTTCGGTAAAAAAAAATGTATAATAACGCTTTCCAGATGGCCGTTTTATGCACATTATATCATACGGTTATGTGTCTCACAGATTCGAGCCAGACCGATGTCATTTTATAGTACGGTCTCGTCTTCGGACATCGCTGCGGCGTTATATACTACGTAATATACGTATGTATGTATGGACACACGTCAAACTATATATAATATTATCATAATGTAAGTACGAGCAGTGTACATAAAACAGATATGGCCCGCCGGCTGAAAACATTCGCATAATAATACTTTAAGGGTATATTATTATGTACGGGGTGCGCGCGAAAGCGGATGATAAAGTCTGTATTATTATTATTATTATTATTACTATAAAACGGCCGAACGCCCGCACTGCTTGAACTTTACACGCCCGTCGGGGCCAAAAGGTACCTATAAACGCAATATATACATATCGACCGTTGGTGTGCGCGCGTATATACTTCTTATGTGTGTACATAAATATATACGACTGCCCTTTACAAACCGTGTCCTAAAAGGGTTAACCCAAGCTGCTATAAAGGAAAGTAAATACCAATTTTTTTTTTTTTACACGACGTTAAGTCCCATATCCTTTGTCCCCGGGGCCCTTCTTCCCGATCGTGGCTACCATATTATTATACGCACATTATCTTATTACACGCGCTGCAGTTGTCATAGTCGTCGTCGTCGTTGTCGTATTTTTATTGTCGTCGTGCATTTCTCTATAATACACGAATACCACGCTACCGATGTATAATATATAAACTATATATACCATAAACGCATTTATATTGATGATCATGGTCTTAAGAAATCTTGACGTGAAAAAAATGTAAGCCCGTAAACACAATTCAACCCTATCCTCGCGCCGCGGGTGCCCGCCACCGCCGTATTTTGTCACATTATCGCTGCTGCACATCCGCATACAATATAATGCACAAAGCGATACAATACACCTAAAATATGTTCGACGTGACATTGAAACGTGGTCAATGTCGCACTTAACTTGACCGTGAGATGCATGTGCGTCTACGTGTTGTGTGCATTATACACAATGCGCGATGTGTATACATCATCGTGCACCGTCTTGATGGGAAGCAAGAAAAAAAAACGTTCAGCCGAGTTTTTGTTGCGACGCACAACTCGAAGAAAAAAATAAATACGACCGAAAACCGTATGGTTTCCGCGTTCGATAAAATACACACAATAATATTATACACGATAACATAATAATATATGGCCCGAGACGTGGAGCGTTTTACAGTACACGTAAATAATGTATATTATTTAGACGTTGGTTATATTATAATATATGTATATGTACGTGTACAGTTAGTTAGTAGCTATATCGAACGTCGGTAGGGGCGTAAAAAAAAAAAAAATAGCAGATAATAGTAAGAATACGCGTTTAAGTATAACCGTAGCGTGACTAATCTGAACGTTTCGAAAATAAGTGATGTCTCGTAGCATTTAATAACAATAATAACATAGTAGGTAGGTTTAAATGCGAGCATCGTGTAGGTATATACCAACGCGCGGAAACATCGCTCGTGGGCGCTAACGATTCGCAGGCAGGAGGAGAAAAAACGAAACGTTTTCCGAACACGGTGCGCTAGTGTATAGTTTTTTATCGACGGAAAGAACGAACACGGCGAGCGAAGAATAAAAAAAAAAAAAAAAAACAATAGTCTTTCACTATTCAAATACACACAAACGCGACGAAAAACGAAAACAAACTCGCCGTCGAATCAATGCTAAATTCCCTATATGTTTTCTTTATACTCCGAAAAAAAATAACAGAACACACCTACGTCAAAACCCTTCGGTGGAAAAATGTGCGCTTATTCACCGCGGTAAACTATTTATACGCAAACAAGTAACAACTATATAGTCTATTGCGCAATCACGAATGCTCGTACAAATACATACTTACGCATTCACTAATGTCATGGTTTACATGTTCACCGCGCGCTCTTCATGCGTATCACAAAAAAATTAAGTATTTAATTCGTCGTATTGTTGTTTAAATACTGCGCAATAATATTATTTTATTTTATAGTCAATGTAAACGCTTTTTTCAGTGAATATGCCACGGTTCACGATCATCTCATCAGGACGATACATTTCGTGTTTTACGAAATGAACATGTTGAATGTACAGTTTTCAGGCACGTATTTCGAGTAGTGCGAGGGGGAGACAAGTGTACCTTGTCTTGTCGCCAATTTATTTAGTACATTATGTTAATAGGAGGCAGTACATTTTTATACACATAAATGTGTAATAATGTTATCGAAAAAATATAGATATGTATGTGTGTACAAATTATAATTGTTATTAAATATCAATCATTGTCATATTATATTGTAGACAGTCGTCAATATTATTTCATAAACATATTATATTAATTCAACAATTAAGTAATAATTAAAGTAGGTCAAACCAGCGGAGTACTGTGTACAGTGTGTATTGAGGTGACACTAAATTTTTATGTATTATTTAACACCGCCGCACATGCAGGTACGAGGTAGTCTAACTATTGTGAAACTCGGCAAAAGGGTATAGGTATAACAGCAGTACTCAGGCTTAGTGTTTTTTTTAAAAACTGATTTAAAAAAGAGTTTCTGACTAAAAACTATGTTTGAGTCTTATTTTAATAGTTTGACGTTCTAACCTTTATACGTATCAGTGGCGGAATACACGTGGGAAGGTACTTTAAATCGAGGAAGTTTGCTAAGACTGAATTGCGCTGCGGTACACGAAATCTTAAATCATTATTTTTTAAAAATGACGAACATGAGCATTAAGCATATACAATTTTACCTCAGTAAATCTAACAGCGCTAATCCAGTTAATTATGGAGAGTCAATAACGTATGGGTACGATACGATATCATAACCTTATGTTAAAAACAATTATTACTATTTAAATATTTGTAGATAATATTTTTTACATAATTTTTTCAGAAAATAATATTAATAAAATTATTATTAACATAATTTCATTAGGTATTTAAAAAAAGATTGAATTTTTGAAGATAAGATATAACTACAAAAGCAGTCATCATTAACAAATACTTAATTATCATAGTACCTTTAAACCAGAATTAATTTACT